TAGAGCGGATTCAATTCCATTGAAATTGTCAAATAATTATTCAATACATTTTTATAATTGGTTTCAATTCTTTCCATTTCTTCCGGTTTGGCTTGAACTACATCATAACCCATGAAACTTTTTAACGTGTTTGATTATTCCCTTTCTTGTCATTTTGAACTTGTATTCAAAAGACTGACAAAGGAAATCAATCAATGTTGGAGTTGCACTTAAACAACGTGAATCACGATAATCAAACAAAGAAGCAATTGCAGTATCCATTGTTTCGTTGATTTTACAAGAATGAATGGGTTCTGATACTTATTGTTAAAAATGTGTCGATATTGCTCCTTTGGTAATACCAAATAATAGAACAAGTGTTTTATTACTCACTTTATAACATATCTTTAAATATTGTATTTGTTGCACTGCACTTACCTTTTTTTTAAATTCTTCATCTGCTGCAAACTTTGAAATTGTTTGAAGTGCTTGAATGTAAAAGGCATCTGTCACTTTTCCTTTTTATACGGCTTCACCACATTCAGCTTCATTTGCTGTCTTGATATTGTTGCTTTTCTTTTGGGTTTGTTGATTGGTGATTTGAAAGGTTTAACAACTTGGCCCGCTTTGACGTTGTTTTTGATATTTCTTCGAAAAAATTTCCTTGTTTTTCAAATTGCATATTATTTCTAAATTTTTAATTCAAAAAAATAATTTAAATCATTATTTTTTAAAAATAGAAATTTTTGAAATTTCATTGGTTTTGTTGTTAAATATGATAGAAATAATACTTCAATAAAATAGTTTTAAGGGGCTAATGTTCAGTTGCCAATTAATGATGAATCGACAATCTGTAAAAAGTTGTTTTAAAATAATTGATTTTTATATTTATAACTTAATTTATTATTATGTTATTTAACGAGTTGTTTTTTTTAATAACGAGCAAATATTAACGAACAAATTTAATTGAAATCAATGTATTCATTCAAGAAAAAATTAACGATATTGTTTATAAATTAGCGTGTAAATTAAAAAAAAGTTAAATTAAAAAAAATAATGTTAATATAAGTATCATATATAACAAATTAAATTTTTAAAAAAGGTAGTAATGTGGCAGATGACACCATTTGGTGATATTATTTTTCTTATAAAAGAATTATTATTATTTGGAAATAAATGCTTTTTTAATGACAAAATTGACTTTATTTGACTAAAAATTGTTTGTATTTCGCAAAAAGGCGTGTATCCATTGGATGGACGCTTATCCAGTGGATAGACGTCCATCCACTAGTATGCCTTAACATAAATAATTAAAATAATAAATATATTACATAAATAGTTGAAATATTGAATATATAAAGAAGTATGACTGGATGGCAAAAAATCGGTGGATAGCTGAAATAGAACACATTTATTTCTAAATATAAAATTATTTTTTTATCTTTTTAAAAACACCAAAAAACTTGTTTTGCTCATATAAACTGTTTTTCAAAAGTCTGTACTGACCTCTTTTTTTCTTTTTCTTAAAATCCCGTTTTTGTCCTTTTTATTTTTCCAAAAAACAAATTTAAAAAAAAATAAAAGTACTAACTAAATTTTTAAAAAAATACCAATCCCATTTTATTTTTTATGGGAATTGTTGGGAAATGATCGCATCATTTGAGCATCTTTTCCAAAACAACCGATCCCGTTATTTCTTTTCCCCTATTAAGTTAATTTAAACAAGGATTTGTCGCGACAGAATGCCTTCTTATCGATTGAAGAAACGAACCACCCAATTTTTATTTCAATACAAACACGAGCTTCGTTATGTGGTTAAACCTTTCAACAAAAAAAACAAAACAAACAAATTGGCTTCTTTGATAAGTTCAAGTCTTTTATAAAATTGAGATCCAACAAGAAAAAAAAACAAAAAACGAAAAAAACCAAGTTAGAGTAAATGACCGATAAAATCACCTTTATTTTCAATGCAAAGCTCGAAACGTTTTGGGATTGAGTCAATGTAATGGTTGATATTTCAATCGGTATTGAGTTCCAAGCGTTTTGAAGTGCAACTTTTAGTTCCTCAATGTCGCTGAATATCTCATTCTCTTTTCTCACCAAAGTGTCCATATGGTGCCAAAGATGCTCAATTGGACTGAGATCTGGACTATTGGCCGGCCAGCGTGTGAGCAATGTAACCCTGAATGTTGAATCGATAATTTCAAACCAATTTGAGGTTTGGCGGGCAGTATGTGGCCTTGCTCCATCTTGCTGAAAAGTCATTCCATGTTTGTAGGCCCTTTTCGCCTCTTCAAACACCTTTGAGTTTTGTAGCATTTCAACATAAGCTTCGGCATTCACTTTACCAGTGAGAAACATTAGTTGTGACTTAAAGTTATGCACAATGGTATTCCATACCATAACACCTGAGTTGAACTTTGGGGTAGGAACGAAGTCTTTATCGGTGAATTCACCCTTTCGTCTCCAAATGTAGTGCCCGTCAGAATAAAGGCAAACCCGGCTCTCGTCAGAGATAATAGTGTTGTTGGTCCAACGTGCTAATAACCTTTTATTGTTGAAATGTCTAGAACAAAATTGAAGTCTATCTGAAATGTGTTTTGAAGTCATGTTTGGTCTTTTTATCTGTTTGGCATAAACAAAACGTTTGTTTTTCCTGATCCTCCAAACAGTAGAAGAAGAAAGAGGCATATTTTGAGAAATAGATAATGAAGAAGAGAGTGGATTTGATAATGTTTTCTCGACCACGATTTTCACTGTGTCTGGAGACACTTTGAGTGGTCGACCAATTTTCTTTGGTTTAGCCTCTCCCCCCTTTTCAACTCCGCAATGGTACTTCGAGACACTCCAGCAAACTTACATACTTCAGTATAAGAATACCCCTCATCAAGAAGTGCCTTGGCTCTAAGCATCTTTTTCTCTTTTTCAGCTTTGTAAAGTGGTCC